TCCCTCGCGGGCAGAAGACGGCTCGCGCAAGCCTCGATTTCTCCATCGGGTGCAAGAGGCCTAGCATTGTTCAGCGCGTCGTCGAAGACGTCGTGGTAGCGCCTTGCAGCACCCGCTTCGCGCGCGGCGTCGTCAGCCAGCAGTGTTGCTGTCTCACGCAGCTGACACTCACGCAGCTGCGACTCACGCAAACTACGCGGCGAGTCGCGCTGTCGCGAGAACGTTATGTTTGTGTCTGGCAGCGACTCTTGAGCGGGGAAGATGCTGCGTTTGCCGCTCTTGTTCGGCGTCGCACAGCTTGTTGGGCAGCCAGCGGCGCAGAGCGCCGCACACGCGTCACGTCCAGCTGCGCCCCCAGCGGGTTCCGAGTGCAGCGGCTGCAGACTGCAGCGGCCGGGCGCAGAGTGCAGCGCTTCTGCGTACGATGCGCGCCCGTCACAGCCAGTGTTGCTTGCTGAGCGCTGCGAGCGCAGTGCGTCAAAGCCCTCGTGCCGCAACTTCCGCAATCCAGGCTCCGGCGTGCGCACCTTGCTCAATTTGCAGGCGCTGTAAGATACAGGCTCCTTGCGCGCCGAAGGCGCGAAGCTTTTCGCGCGCCGCGCGTCCACGCCAAAGCGGCAGCCCAGATCTACACTGTGAGCTTTGAGCATCGACGTTCGCGCAGTCGCAAACTCACCCATTCAAAACGGCCATCAGGCTCGGTGTTCAGCGTTAAGTGGGCGGGAATCTAGCTGCGCAGCGAAGCTAAACTAAATAAAAATCACAGCGAGCACAGATTTAACACTTTGCCAGTGTGCGAATCTTCACGCAGCTCCGCTCAAATAATGTTCAAGAGACCTTTAAGTTCGAAAAAGAGCTTTTTGTGTTTTTCGACCTCCTCGAGAAAGTACTGCTTGCCAACGTCGATGCTGCGCCGCGAAATCGCGGAAACAAGCGTCTCGTGAGCGTCGAGCTGGCGGTCAATTTCGACATTGCTGCCGCTGACCTTGATCGCAACGCTCATTCCGGGCGTCGCGGCTTTGACGGCCTTCTTGTCGTGTTCGATCGAGTCGACAGAACCGATAGCGACGCGCGAGCCGAGCGCAAACAGCGGCGTGCCGACGCGCAGCTCGCCGGCGGTCACCTCGACGCCGAAAATGAGCGGCGCCTTTTTGTTGAACACGCAGGACGGCAGCATTTGCACCTTCGCGGGCGAGACGTAGTATGCGGCCGCGGCTGCGCGACGCTGCGCCATAATGTCCCCGTGGAACCTTGCGTACATGCCCGAGAGCTGGTAAATGATCTCGGCCTCGAACAGCGCGACGCGCAACTTGGCCGCCTCGGTGCGCGCCTCCTCGTCAATCTTCACGTTGAACGCGGCAATCACAGCGTACTCTTCGCAGTTGCGTTCGCGCATCACGCTCGCGCGGACCACGTCCTTCTTGTGCACCGTGCCGATGACTATGTCGTTCACGGGAATTTTCTGGTCCTTAAAGTGGTCGAGCAGAGCTTCCGCCGCGCCGAGCGTGCTGCTCGCGAGAATCACGCCGTCCGAGGTGTGGTCAACCAGCTGCGAAATGATGCTGAGCTCATTGCGCACCTTCTCCTCGAATTCAGGGATGGCCTCCGGTTGGGTGCACACATACAGCGAGCTGCCAGCGATCGCCTGCTCGAGCTCCGGCGCGGCGATGCGCACGCTGACGGCGGCGGTGACGGCTTCGTGCATCTCATACTCGCCCTTGACACGCGACTCGCGAAGCGGCATTGGCGTCATGAGCGCCTTGATCTGTGTGACAATCGGGCCATTGTGGCCCGCGAGCACGATGGTGTCTTTCTTTCTCAGCGCGCCGCCGATCAGCAGCACGTCGATGCACGTGCCGAGCCCCTCGAGCGTCTTGACCTCAAGCACAGTAGCGTCAACGTGCTCAGTGTCGATGACGATTTGCTTGCGCATGAGTTTCTGCGTCAGCTTGATGATCGTCGCGAGCAAGTCCGGCAGCCCCTCGCCGGTCGCCGCGCTAATCGGCACCACGCTGACCACCGATTTCTCACTCTTGTTCTCGTGGAACAGCGAGAAGTTCATGCCGCACTTCTCGATCAAGTTGAGCACGGCGCGACCCGCCGCAGTCTTTAGACTGTCGAGCACAAACGGAGGCTGTCGCTTCAAGCACTCCTTGAACGTGGCGAACTGCATAGATTTCCAGCCAAACGTCAAGTCAATCTTGTTCAGCGCCACAATGAACGGGCAGTGCTGCTTCTTCAGCAAGTTAATTGACTCGAGCGTCTGCGGCTCGACGCCCTTGCCAATGTCGACCACCAAAATCGCGATATCGCAAATTGAGGACCCGCGTTTGCGCAGACTCGAGAAGGACGCGTGGCCCGGGGTGTCGATGATCAGCAGCCCAGGCACCTCCAATTTAAACTTGCTGTCGCAGCGAGCGGTCTGCGCCTCCAGCAGACTGCGCGGAAAAAACGTCGCGCCGATTTGCTGCGTGATGCCGCCCATCTCGCCCAGCTGAACCTTCGTGCCGCGAATCGTGTCGAGCAGCGTAGTCTTTCCCGTGTTCACGTGGCCGAGAATGCAGCAGACCGGCGAACGCAGCTTCGCGTCAGCGCCGGCTTGCGCGTCCGGATCGGCGACCGCCGCCTCCTCTACAGCAGCCGCGCGGCGGCCACCGCCTGCCTTGACGGCTGCTTTCCCCGGCGACTTGCGCGACGCGGCCGCGGCGCACGCGTCGACGCGCTTAGCCCGCTGCGCGGCGCGCGCAGTGCTAGGCTTCTCCGGTACGACTGCGGCAGCCGGCGCCTCCGGTCGTTGCGACGCGCCAGCTGCTGCGCCATTTCGTTTCAGCTCGCGTGTATTTCCGCCTGTTTTCGCCGAACGCGTGCTGGGAAGCTGCACAGGCTCATCATCCGCCTCGCTCGAGACAGACTCGTCCCAGTTCTCCGGTAACGAATCTTCCCTCGTGTCTAGATTCATGCTTCGTCTAAACCCTAGCTAGCCCCAGTATTTTTAGACACAACAATATTAATTTTAATTCTAACCGAGCACGAGCTTCCGACGAGATGTCCACAGCCGTAGTGAACAAGGAAAACAACCCGATGCGCGGTATCCGCATCGAGAAACTGGTTCTCGACATCTGCGTGGGCGAAGCTGGCGACAGACTCACGCGCGCCGCAAAGGTGTTAGAGCAGATGACTGGTCAAAAGCCGTGCCTGTCGCGCGCGAAGATCACGATCCGCTCCTTCGGCATTCGGCGCAACGACAAAATCGCGACGCACGTCACCGTTCGCGGGCCGCGCGCTGCCAAATTGCTGGAGCTGGGTTTGAAGGTCAAGGAGTACGAACTGAAGAAAAGCAGCTTCGGCGCCAACGGCATCTTCGCGTTCGGCATCTCCGAGCACATCGACCTCGGCATCAAGTACGACCCGAACGTCGGCATCTACGGACTGAACTTCTACGTGCACCTCGCACGGCCCGGCCGCCGTGTATGCACGCGCCGCGCGCGACGCTCGAAGATTGGCAACACGCACCGCCTCACGCAGGAAGATGCCATGAACTGGTTCCGGAACTCGTACGACGGCATAATTATCGAAAATTAAGTAATATTTCTAGCTAGCGTGCGGCCCGAGACCCTAGCGTCTGCGAACTACCTGCGCACCGGAGCGCATCTACATGCGAGACAGTGAAAAACTTCTGCTCTGCAACTCGCTGCAGCGCGTGGAGCAGCAGCTGCGCACGCGGCTCTTAGAGTTCTTGAGCGACGGCGACGCGCCGCGCACAAAGCTTTGCGCGGCGTTGCGCAGCTTCGAACGCGCGAAAGCGCTTCTCGCTGAGTACGAAACGCTTGCGCTCGACAGCAACACGAAGCAGGCGTTCTGCTTCTTGCAGCGCGAGCTCGCGTGCGTCGCATGGATTGTGCAACACCCGGCAGTGCTCGGCCCGGCGTGCGAGTTGGACGAAACGATGTTGGAGCGCGTGCTGCAGTTTGTTGCAGAGCTAGACGCGTTTAGCGCCGCCGCCGACTGCGCGACGCGCAACCGTGCGCGCGGTGCGCCCCGCGGCTAGGTGACGCACGGCATGCTGTAGGAATAGCAGCCGGTGTCGCAAAAAACTGCGACGCTCGGCTTAAACTTCTTTACTTGGGCTTCGGCCGCATCTTCTTGAGTCAACGCCTCCAGCCTTTCTTGTTTCATAATTTTTCGATATTGGATTTTCTTTGCGCACTTCAAATGGAAATCACGCCGCAAGAAAACTGAGTGTTGCGCAGCTATATTACAATTTTCTTCTTGCGGTCCACAGCGTACGGCTGCTCATCCACGATGCAGCAGTCGAAGCCACAGTGCAAAAACTTGCTCATCGTGTTTGCCACCTTATAAGATGCCGTGTCGAGGCGCTGCTGCGGGCTCAGGTCTTCGACAATGCGCGGCTGCAGCGCCTGCAGCGGAGCGAAGTTGGTGTAGTACGTCACGCGGCGTTTGAGGCAGCTTTTCGGCTTGATGCGATTCAGCTGCTCCCAGTAGCCGTTTGCTTGGCGCACGCTATCTGCGCTGCTGGAGTCGTCGGCGAAAGCTACTGACTTCGACTGGACTACGGTTGCGGAGCGCAGCGCGGCACTGCTGCCCGCACGCTCTCCGCCGGCAGGTGCGACGTAGGCCTCGCACTCCTCCCGCTCTGACACTGCAGTAACGGAGAGACTCGAGTATTCCGGCAACACCGCAAGAGACTCTTTCGAAGCGCTGTCGCTCGCACTTGACATAATGAATTAAATCTGACTGCGAGAAGATTTATTGCATGCACTGTGCGCGCGTCACATGTAGTCTCCGGAGCGCGCGAACGTCTCCCGACGCCGGGAAACGCCGGCGCGAAATTCGGGCAGACGCACACAGGGAAATTTCGGATCCCAATACCTGATTTATTTCCAACCGCAGCCGGACATGATCTTCCGCAACCTGCTTCTTGCGTTTCCGTTTTCGCACGCCATGACCTACGTCGTGATTTACCCCGATAGACTGACCAGTTGCTCACTGATGAAAAGCGCGCTGCCGATCGCCCTCGCCAGTTCAGTGCTGTTCAACAGCGACAGCATCACGACTGCGGGGTTAGACGTACTCTCCGTGCTCACCGACAAAGACGCTGCAATCAAGATCAACGACGGCATTGCGCCGCCGCCCGACGCAGCGGACACGCTGCTCGACGAGCAGTGCACCGACCACACCTCGCTCATAGAAGAGACCAGCTCGCTAATTAGCAACTTGTTCGCCAAACAGATCAACTATCAGCGACTACGCGCGATGATCGCGCAGCTCATCGACAAAAACATACTGCTTATCGACGGGTCGAAAACTAAGCTGACTTACGAAGAGATGCTACGCCAGTACTACTACCAGGGTGCAGCCTCGGAGATCGGCTTCTTGCTTCCCGAGTGCTCCGTGCCCAGTCTAGACATCGACAAGACAAAGATGGGGCTAGACCTGTTTCAGCTGATACAGAAAAACCTCGAGCCGATTGCCTACAGCATTAAAGCCGCGTTCACCAACTGCAACGGCTGCGCGAAAGAGTTCGTCACAGAGATTGTGAAAGTTTCGGGCATGAGCTTCGAGGACAACTACGAAGAAACGCTTTTTAGTATGATGGACCAGTCCAACGAATTGTTCGACACCATCATTGCCGAGGTACTCAAGCTTCCTGAAGAAGAGTTCTCGAAGAACATCGGCGAGATCATATCCGGACTACTGACCGGTTTGCCGCAGCCGAGCGAAGGCAGCGGCGACATAATAAAAACGCTCAGTCAGAACGTCATTGCGGTCGTCGATGAACTATACAGCGAAGTCACTGGTTACGCGCCGAAGCCGCACTCGACGCTGGCGTTCAAGAAGCTAATGGCTGCGCTGCAGTGCTAAGCCCGCAGCGACAGCTACGCAGTTTAAATGCACAGCAAGTTTTTCGTGAATCACGCGCTCAGGCTGAACTGCTTCTTCAACGTCGCTAGTTTGCTCAGCAGCAGCTGCAGCGCGGACTGCACGATCTGCAGCGCGGGAAGCGCGCCAGTGCTTTCGACCGTAAATCGAAAATGCCGCTTTTTACGTAAATGCTCGAGCTTCTCAGGGAAGCGTTCCAGTGCGACGTGGTATACAGCGTTGTTCCGTACAATCGCCGCTTCGCCCGACACTGGATCGAATGTCAAGTCAGACTGTAGCTCGCGCAGCTCTGTAAGCTCCTCCGCCGTGAGTTCGCACAACAAGCCGTCCTCACGCCGCTTCAGTCGCAGAATCGACAGCAACCTATACGAAGCAGTGCACACTGGAGACCACTTCGCGTGCGTCTTGCCCGTGCCCTTCTCCAGGTAAAAAGTCGCTTCGATCTCCTGTCCAGCCGCGAGTTTCGTGATGAGAATGTCGTCGTGCACCAGTCGAGGCGGGTCCTTGCACGCTTCCCGTTCATCTTCGGAAAATGGCACCCAATTTAGCATTCGGCTGTATATGTTCATGACGGGCGCGCCCTGCGGGCACATCACGTTAAGCTGAAACGCCAGCGAGTTTTCCGAGCTAAAGATGTCCGAGCTTTTGCGGAAATGATAGTCGTTAGGGTTCACCCTAAACGGCACGAGTCCGATGCGGTGGCACAGCACCTCGTCTTGCAAGACGCCTGTATTCTGATAAATGTGGCAGGTCTCTACGGCCATTGTCGGCACCTCCACCATCATAATGCGCCGCAGCGCGTTTGCGATGGAGACATCGACGCCAATTAAGTCAAACACTATCTCTTCGTCCGTCAAACTGCGAATCTGCAAGTCGATGGCGTCCAGCTGCTCGTCCAACGAGGCAGAGGGTACGTCGTAAACAACGTTCTTTACTCCGCTGGCGTCGCACACTACATACTCGTCAAACTGCATGAATCGCAAATATCTGCATAGAAATCCCGCCCAGTAAATAATTAACAAATTCGAGAGCAACAGAAATGGGTGCCGCAGCTGCCTGCTCGAGCTCTTCTATGGATGACGTTTGGTGACCTGGAGTCTCTATGGCCCACCTTTGACTCCGCAACCGAAGCTAGCGCTGATTCGCCTGCCACCGGCGGGACGGCCGCTATGCAGACCGGATGGCGGGTGCACGACTTACAATTCCCGCTGAATGCTTCCGAGCGGTCCAAGTTTTTCCCAGTTGCGCAGATCCACACCTACTGCGACATTGACGACCCTCAACTTCTTGAGTCGCTGTCTATCGACGCGTCTCGTCTCCTGATAGGTTCAGTCTTTGGTTGTCTCGGCTCCGACGCGTCTAGCCCGTACTACTATGCCGCTATAGGTCGGTTAAGTATGCCGAGCAGCGCCTTTCCCAGCGAAACCGCGGACGAGGGGTGCGGCGGAGCGGAATTTTTGCCGCAGGCGTGGCTGCCGCCTGTGTGTAGCTGCATCGTCGAAGCGCTGCACGACGTAGAGGTTTTCATTGAAATCGTACCTTGCGAAAAATATACGCCGCTCGCATTCATCGCGCGCGGCATGGAAGACCGCAATCGGGTTCCGCTTCGGATTAGCGTGTTCTCTCGTAGTCCTAACACGTTTTACGATCATTTACTCATACAGCTCAGGTGGCTGTCGCTGTTTAGCGATTGTGGACGTCCGATCACCGAGCAGTTCACGGGGTGGTTCGTCAACGAAGCGCTATCGCACCCGAGCTTCACACTAAATCTGTACACTTTCGATGCTCTGGTATCCATGCCTGTGCTTAGCGAAACTTCGCTCTTCGACATATTCGACGCAAGCGCCTTGCAGCGCATCACGGTGCACCCGGAAGACTCGGTTTTGGCTTCCATCCAGATCCGAATGCAAAGTGAACAAAAGTTCGGTTGGTCTTGTTTCGAAAACGGTTTTGCGATGCTCGAAACGCCTAACAAACTTTTCACAATGTTTCGGTACGGATCTTGGGAGGCGGTAGTCGGTAGCCTCGAGCATAGCTTCGACTCGCCGCTTGCACATGCGAGCGTCGTAGAGCGCGATGACAACCCATCGCCCGCATTGCGCAGCAATTCTTCGCTAGACTTTGTCAATGCTATCCTGTCACAAAATTCAGCAGACGAGCCTCGACTCAGCGCGAAACGTGCTTTGCCCGACGCGGACAGCGACGTCGAGTTCATTATGGAGACCTTACGAGTTTCAGATGACAGCGAAGAAACGCAAGTGCAATCGCGAACATCGGAAATGACACCGAGTCTGCGCGTCCACCGCAAACTTCCCAAAGCGACTCGCTCGTTTAGCTCCGCAGTTACTGACGTGGACTTTCAGCAACTAACAAACTCGCTTGAGTCGTGCATCAGCAACTCGAAGCTCGTCAACGAAGAGCTCGACTCGCCCTTATGGGCCAAAGAAGTATTAGAGAACAGCGGGTTTCACTACCGGCTCGTGTTTCGTTGGCTGAAAACGTTCAATTTTAATACGCTAATGTTTGCGTCTGGTAGATTGTTGAATACGCTTGAGGATGAGTATAGTTTGGCGCACAATCTCCGCGAGTGCGCGGGCGCCGCTTCGCGCGAGCACGCGATTGCGCAGATCATTGGTTCGCGAGTGGTCAACTCAATCTTTCATCATCATAAGCAAGTTTTGTATGGTCAAGGTTACCAAATCGGCTTCGATAACGAACGCCTCAATGCAAAGTTCGTACACGGCTACCCGCGTGACAAGCCGTTATGCAGAAAAACCCTTACGATCCCCGTCGGACTAGGTCCTGCAGCAGTGCCGCAGCTCAAAGTAAAGCTGCTTCCGCATCAGGTCGAAGGTGTCCGCTGGCTCTACGCGCACGAGCAGGGTGACATTAAAGAGCTGCTGTACGAGAGCAACTACACTGCGAGCTTCTCTGGCAAGTCCGACACCTACACCTGCTTGCTCACAGGCGAGGAGACCGCAGCGCGCGACTTGTTCTTCTTGCGGGGCGGCATCCTGGCAGACGAGATGGGGCTCGGCAAAACTGTCCAACTGCTAAGCGTGATTTTGCTCGATCCGAAGACTGCGGAGCACATGCAGAAGCATCAACTTGGCAGTTCCAGCTGCAGCAACAATTGGATTCTAGATGATTACGGGTTTCCGCGTGAGCAAGTGGTCAGCTCTCTGCCCGAGATTAGCTTTGACGAGAAAGGGCTGCGCTACGGCTGCACATTGGTAATTTGTCCGATGACAATGATCGGCGAGTGGCAGCGCATAATTTCTGAAACGACCGAAATTGACCTGCGCTACGTGATCACATACCACGGCCCGCGCAAGAAGAAGTACAGCAAGCGCGACTTTTCGCAGGCGCTGATTGTCATTACGTCGTACGGCACGCTCAGCACTTCGTCAACGCAGGGCGATCAGGTGTTGCAGAAAATTCACTGGCGGCGCATCATTTTCGACGAAGCGCACGAAGTGAAAAACGCCGCCACTCGGAAAACCAGGTCGGTCCGCGACCTAGTCAGCGACATCCGTTGGTTCGTCAGCGGAACGCCGCTGCAGAACAACCTGAAGGAGTTTCTCAATGTGCTGCGGCTCGTTGGCGCTCCACTCAAACTGCTGCAGCAGCTAGGCAGCGGCTCCGACGTTGAGGTGCGCACAATCACGTTCTTATACTCACTGCGCAACCTAATGTTGCGGCGAACTAAAAAAGAAATTGCGCTGAGCAGGGAGGGTGACAAGTGGTCGTACACGTCGTTGGACACGCCGTTCCGGATGCCAGCTAAACACGTGGAGTTTCAGTACATCACATTTTCCGCAGATGAGTTGGAGTCATACACGCTGTTCAAAAAAGCGTCACAGGAATTTATTCGCTCAGCGTCGGACAGCGCGAACTGGATCGAACTGAACGCGCTGCTGATGCATCTGCGACTGCTGACGATCTCGGCGGCGACGCTTGGCCCAAAAGCGGCGAACGTGCTCGACGCACTGCGAGCCGGCTCGCGCATATTCGCAGACGACGCTGAGCACGCAATCCGCAAGATGCAGTTGGCAAAAAAGCTGATCTGCAGCGACTCGGTGGGCGAACTAATTTCGAAGCTGCCGTCGCAGCCGCTTGAGGAGGACGACAGCGAGCAGTCGCCGGGCGCAACGCTTGCGCTCTGTTGCCCAATTTGCCTGCTAGACAACCCGGACACTCTGACTTCCTGCAAGCACGTGTTTCACAGCAGCTGTATACGCGACTGGTTGGTGCGAAGATCTTTGTGTCCTTGCTGCCGCGCGTCGATCTCCGACGCGCACCTCATTAAGACAAAGGAGTTGCACGAGCTCGCTGCGCAGTTCCGCGACAGCGACGCGTTGCGCAAGGACGTGCCAGAGTCGTCGAAGATCAAAGGCATCGCGAACTACGTGAAAGCGGTGCTCGCTGCCGGGCACCCGCCGGAAGAGACGCCAGGTCCTGTGAAGCTCGTGGTGTACAGTTGTTTCACGCGCGTGCTGCGGCTACTTGACGCAGCGCTTGCGGCACGCGGCTGTCGTTGTTTGTACATCACGGGGAAAATGCGCAGCGCCGAGCGTACCTCCACGCTGAACACGTTTCAGACCGCGGACGAGTCGTTGGTTCTGCTCTGCACCTACACTGCCGCCGCGGTGGGGATCACCTTGACCGCCGCGAACCATGTGGTGCTCGCGGACCCGTGGTGGAACCCGTTTTTGGAAGACCAGGCGATCGACCGCGTGCACCGAATCGGGCAGACCCGCGAGGTGCACGTCAAAAAGTTCGTGGTCGCAAATTCGGTGGAGGCGAACATTGTGAAGTGCCAAGACAAAAAGAAATCGATGGCTCACTACTTGATAGGAATGAAGTGCGAGGGCAAAAAGGTTTCTGCAGCGTCGATCGGAGACTTGCTGGAAATGATTAAATGAGCTCCTGTTAAAATATTTATTGTGCTTATATCATGGGCAATATACAGGAGACCATCAACCAGCAGCTTGAAGCATTCAACGTCTTTTTGGTCTGCATCCTAGTCGTCGTGCTGAGTGGCGCATTTTTGGCCACGGTGATAGCCTTTGTCTATATTCGCCAAAACCACTCGCGCGAGCGGCTGAAGCTATTACGCACGAAAACGCGAATGGATTTAGAGCACGGCGACCTTGTTGACGGGCATCCGTAACGAACCGCACACGCGCGATAAATTGCAAAATGCTTTTTCAGAAACGATGCGAAAATAAGCTGTTCGCATAAGCGACGCCGACTCCGCACCATTGAGCGATGCTTTTCGCGGTGTTCACCTGCTTGGCCATCGCGACGCTCTGTAACGCGTATCTGCTCGCGCGGCGGCCGCCCGACCCTGCTTCGTAAGTTTCCGCGTGTGGCACGCAGGCGCTACTTCGCGTTCATGTCGCACATCGGCTGTTGCGAAACGACGACGCGCGCATTCTGGGAACTGGTCGCAAGCATCGCGCTCGGCGCAGCCGCCGCGCGGAAGCCCGTGCAGATCACGGTGTTCACCGACGCCGCGGCGGCACACCCGCTAGAGCTCGTGCGGGCAGCGCGACACTCGGCGGGCGTCGGGTTTGATCAGTTGCAGTGCATTGACGATGGCTCGGGCCGACTGCAGATCAACGCGCACTGCGAGCTGCAGTTCGTTCGACTGCTCTCGTTCGGGCTGGTGTATCGCAACTACCGCAACTTGTCGATGCTGTTGCGACAGCTCGCGGCAATGCTGACGGGCATTGAGGCAGTCTGGAAGAGTAACTGTCCTCGCGCGGCAGCAGTCTTCGACTTTTCGGCGGGCCCCTGCGCGCTGTTTAGTTTCTCGATGCTGAACGCACTCTCCTCGCTGCAGCTGCACTGCTGCCTAAGTAGCAAACTCGTGTCGCTGAAATTGCTGCGGTCTCGCCGCGCTAACGAGGCACGCGCGCTGAAAAACCTGTACTCCCGCTTGTTGCTAACGCTGATGCGCCGCTGCGGCGCCGGCCTGCAGGACCCGATTCTCGCTAGCACACGCGACGCCGAGCTGCTTGCCACTCAACTTTGGCCAACGAAAGCTGTCGTTTTGCTGGAAGCCGCGGAACTCTGTCCGCAGACGCTGCCTACAGACTGGAGATCGCGCAAAAACCGCGTTGTCGTGTGGGGTTCTCGCGACGGGCTGCAGAACAGCTCCGAAGTGCAGATAATCTTGCGCGCCTGCGAACGCAACGGCTACGAGGTTAGCCTACTGATGTTAGACGACGCGACCGCGGACACTGCGCGCGACTACGAGGAGCCGTTCTGCAGCTCTGAGGCCTCGAGCGGTCCGGCGGTGCAGCGGCTACGCGGGTTATCAAACGGCGAGCTGAGCAAGCTGTTCCGCAACGTGAAACTTTGCATTTTGCTTGACTCGACCACGATTCGAAGCGTGGACGTGCATCTCGTGCAGCTGCAATGCGTTCCCGTTTTCTGCCTAGCGTTGCATAAGGCGCTCAACTCGGTCGCGAGTTCATTGTTTAGTCAGAATAGCGCGCCGTTCGCACCACTCACCTTTTTAAAGCGCGAGTCTTCCACTACGAAGATGCGCATCCACCCGCACTCGAACTTGTTGCTCGGGAACACAGACGACCTGCTAGCGTTCATCGACCGGCTGCGTGAACCGGAGTCGGAGCTATCTCAAGCCATGCAAGAAGTCTCACTGCGAATCGGCAAAAGCTTGTTCGAGCACTACGGTGCGCTGCCGACCCGCTCGCGCGAGGCAGTGCATCAGTGGACGTCGTGCCCTCAGGCTGCGGCACGCCAATAGTAGCTAAGTTTTGCAGACACGTAGAACGCGCAGGCGATTAGCAAGTTCTCGTATGGCGAGCACGTGATGCGCTCGACCAGCGCCGACACAAGCGCGCTAGTCAGCAGCTGCGGTGAAAGCAGTTGCACGCATAGCACGCGCGAGAGTAACGCGGCGAACGCTGCAACCGCCGCTACGAAGCTGGCCGCGCCGAGCCACGTTTTGCCCGCAGATGCGCGACGGCGCAGTAGCAGCTGCGGCACGATCGCACTGAATGAATCGCCAACGCCAGTCGCGAACGTGCCCGCTGACGCGGCTACAATCGTCGCCGCGTCCAGCGGCGCGGCACTGCGCGCGCAGTCGAACTCAAGCAGCATCGGGATTACCATGGCCGCGAAAAAGCAATTGAATGCAGTCATACCGCGGCGTTCTTCGCCTTCTTTACGCAGCGGGTCCACCACGAGGTTAGCAAAGCGCCGCAGCACGGGCACGTGCGCGTCCCAGTCGCGCTGCAGCGCGAAGCTCACGGTCAGCAATGCGCCGTAACTGGCGACAACGACGCTGGGGGCCCAGAAGTAGAAAACATTTAACGCAGTCCAGAAGAGGTGAAAGTACTTGCGCAGCGCAGTCACGCGCAGCTTGCGGGCGGCAGTGCGCGTCGCGCTTTTAGTGAGGAAAAAAATCGCGAAGCTGGAGACCGCGGCAGTTAGGAAAAGCACGGACGCGCGCAGCGTGTCGTGCTCGCGCTCCAGGAGGCTCGCGGCGGGTGGCAACCAGCATATGCTGTTAAACATAATTAATTAGCAATAAACAGCGATGTTTTCGCGAAGCGCTCGATCAGTGCGGTCATAGTCTTTACGCATCAGATCCTGAGCTAGATCGCGTCTTCAGAAACCATTCGTCCATGACTGTTTGCGATATGCTTTCAAAGGTCATTAGGTGTGCTGCGGAGCCGACGCCGTTGAAGAATTGCAGCGGCTTTGAATAGACCGGGTAGCTGCCAACTGGGTATCCGTACACCAGCGCGGGCCGGTCCACGCGGTTGCAGCGCACGCGCACAACGTCTGCCAAAGGTCGGTCCGCCACCACTTCGCAGCACACATTTTTCTTCACAGTGTTCAAGTTCACCGCGTGCGAGCTCATCTGAATGTAAAAAAGAGTGCAAATCGCGCTCTGACGCGCAGCGCCGCGCGCTTCCGCACGGCGCGCTGCGCCGATCGAATTAAAAAGCGATGCGCAGCGCGGCGCTTGCGTACCGGCCGCGCTTTTTTTCCGCGCACTTATTTGCGCCGCGGTCCAGTGTGGCAAGGTCGAGTAATTTGAGCACTTCGGTCTTGAACTGGTCGACTTCCAACGCGGCCTGCAGCCGCTCGAAGTCAAACATCAGCTTGTTTAGGTGGGCTTCTTGCACGTGCGTCCCGGGCTTAATTGACACGCGCAGCCGATAACGCGCGGGCAGCAACACTTGAAGCACAAACAGCACCGAAAGCGCGATTTTCGAAACTTGCGAGCAACCCGGAATCGTAGGCGATAGCGCAACCCGCACTTCGTCCCGGTCCACAGCGACATCCGCCAAACTGACGACGCAAAGCTCGTCGAGCGTCATCGGGTACTCGGGGTCCTTGACGGCGGACAAGTAGCCGAAAACCTCCTGCGTTGTCGCGCGCGGCACTTACTTCTGCGGACAACTCCGAAGTCGCACACATCGCGTCGAGTTGCGATTGCGGCGTTTGCTGTACAAGCTTTCCCGCGCCCCGCTAGCAATTATTCAAAATTGAAATTACAACTAGAGCCCGCAGCGTTACTGCAGGTCGCGCCAGACGAAACCCTTGACCGGGTCGTCTTCGAGCGCGACTGAAAGTCGCGGCAGGTCTACGTCGCGCAGCGCGTCGCACCGCTTGAGCAACTCCGCGCAGAGACCTTTGGTCTCGGGCCCGCACTTTTTTATCAGACCGCGCAGCCCCTCGCGCAGGTCGCGACGGAATTCGCAAAGCACGGTTACGACGTCGCCAAAGCGCTTCGGGTCCGCTTCCGCAACCTCGCTGTTGTACGCCGTGAGCCCCGCACCTGCACAGAGGCCGAGGATGCCGCAGTGGCGGCGGACCAGCCGCGCCGCTTCGAGCAGAAAGAACGAATTCAGCTCCTCTGCGTGCGTCTCGCGCACGTAGCGCAACACCTCCAAACAAAACTCCTTGAGATGAAGCAGTGCGCTCGGCGTGTCGAAGTTCTTGCAGTACGCTTGGTCTAGCTCGTCCGCGCAGCGCTCGAGCTGCGACCAGAACGCGCCAACCGCCGCCGTCACCTTCTGCGGCCGGCTGAGTCCGCGCAGCGCCTTGAGGTCTACAGCAGCGACGTCCGCGAACGTCGCGCAATCACCGGTCTCGACCATCAGCGGCTTCAGCGTCGCGAAAAAGGTTTGGAACACACGGTGGTACTCTGCCGCCTCGCGCATTGCTGAAGCCTCCAACGTAAAGTTCATCGGCTGCGTCCATTGGTGCAGCAGGAACAGAATGCGAATCTCTTGAAACGTGTGCCGCTTGAGCATCTCCTGGATGCTCACGAAGTTCTTCAGCGACTTCGACATCTTGCAGCCGTTGATGTTCAAGTGCCCAACGTGCAGAAAATAGCGCACCCACTCATCCGACTGGAAGTACGCCTCGCACTGCGCGATCTCGTTGTCGTGGTGCGGGAAGCGCAGATCCACGCCTCCCGAGTGCAAGTCGATCACTGGCTGCAGCGCGTAGCTCGCCATTGCGCTGCACTCGATGTGCCAACCGGGCCGCCCGCGGCCCCACGGACTGGACCATCCGACCTCATCCGCGCCCGCGCGTTTCCACAGCGCGAAGTCGCGGAAGCTACGCTTGCCTTGTGCGCGCGCTGCAGTGAGTACCTGCTCGTCGCGCACTGCAGCGTCACTCATGTTCGACGGCTCCAGCTTCGGGTAGCGGTGCTCCGCGTGCGAGCGGAACGCCTCAACATCGAAATAAACCGAACCCTGTGCCTCGTATGCGAAGCCGTTGGCAATGATCTGTTCCACGTACGCAACGATTTGCGGAAGGTGCTCCGTCACGCGCGTAACCACAGAGGGCAGCCGGCAGTTCAGGCCCTGCAGATCGGCGAAAAACTCCGCCTCGTAGAAGCGCGCCAGCTGCTCAAACTCCACTCCTAGTTCCGCGCTGCGTCGCAAGATCTTGTCGTCGACGTCCGTAATGTTCATGCACTGCTTCACATGGTACCCGAAATAGTCCTCTAGAATTCGCCGCATCGCGTCGGTCGCCACGTAGTTTCGCGCGTGGCCCAGGTGCGATACATCGTAGACGGTCGGTCCGCAGACGTACCACTCCAGCGCGCGACCCTCGCGCGGCTCAAAGTCCTCGAGCTTCTGCGACAACGAGTTCAGCAACTGCAGTTTGCGCTGCATCAGCCCGCTATTTTGTTTAATCTAAATTCGCGCCGCAATTTCATGCCCTCGCACTCATCGCTGTCTCCGGACCCGGTGCGCGAGTTTGTCATGCGTGACTCGCAGCTGCCTAGCGCGGATGCGCCGCTCATCGCCGGCTTCGACTTCGAACAGGACGCGGCCTTCGACAAACTGCTTAACGCCTACAGCAACTTCGGCTTCCAGGCCACGCACCTCGGCCGCGCTGCGCACATCCTCAATCAGATGCTCAGCTGGCGCCTCGCCGATGAGCCGCTAACCCCCGAAGAGCTGCGCGAGCTTCAAGTCCGCCCAGAGCTAAACGACGCGCCGCTCGAGCAGCTGCGAAGCTGTGCGCCCGAAGATTTCTCTTGGGCTGCCCCTGCGGTGCGCGCCAACACACGTGCGACGATCTTCCTTTCGTTCACCAGCAACATGGTCACCAGCGGTTTGCGCGAGTGTTTCGTGTTCCTCGCGAAACACCGGCTCGTCGACTGCATCGTGACCACTGCTGGCGGCATTGAGGAAGACTTCATCCGCTGCTTCGGGAACTTCATAGTCGGCGACTTTCACAAAGTTCGCGGCGATGATCTGCGCAGCATAGGCTGGAACCGCACTGGCAACATCTACGTCCCCAACGATAATTACGTGAAGTTTGAGCGCTGGATTTTACCGATTTTCGACGAAATGCTGGAGCTGCAAGAGTCGCAAAACGTCAACTGGACGCCAAGCAAGATCATTCGACTGCTAGGCGAGAAAATCGAGAACGAAGAAAGTCTTTACTATTGGTGCGCCAAAAACGACATCCCCGTCTTCTGTCCCGCGCTCACCGACGGCTCTCTCGGCGACTGCCTTTTCTTCCACTACAAAAGCCGCGAGCGTCGGCTGCGCATCGACATCGTTGAGGACATCATCTTAATGAACCAAAACGCACTTGTTGCGAAGAAGTCCGGTGTGATCATTCTCGGTGGCGGGCTGCCGAAGCATCATGTCTGCAACGCGAACCTCATGCGTAACGGGGCCGACTTTGCGGTCTACATCAACACCGCAATGGAGTACGACGGCTGCGACTCCGGTGCGTCGCCCGACGAGGCGCACAGCTGGGGCAAACTGGCGGCCCAGTGCTGCGATATCAAGGTTCATTGCGACGCCACCATCGCGCTCCCATTGCTCGTTGTCGCTGTCATGCGTAAGTACGCACACGACGACCGTGCGCGCCTACTACTCCACCATCCGATGTATAACCCGCACATCGCGGGACTTTAGTGCGCTAGCGCAGGTGCAGCAACTTCAGCAGTTTGTGCCACCAGCGTTTGTACCAGACTTCGTCCTCGTTGACTTCTTCTATCACCTCTTCCGCCTTCTCTTTCACTGATGCGCCTGAGTCCTCGAGCTTATGGAGTTCGTCAGAACTTTCGATTTCTGTGACAAACTTGTCTGGCACTGTTTTCATTTCATCCTTCACTGGTACGTCGGCTCGCAGGTGCTTGTGTATCGCAGAGTCAGTGGCTTTGTCGAATAGCTCTGTCGAGCTCGCGTCTTTCTTATACAGCGTGAAAGAAATGAGGTCCGGCTCATCTAGCCCGTAGTCCTCTGTGTCGCTTGTCATCTCTGTCAAGATCGACGGCGCCATCCTGTCCACTGCGTAAACCCTTTTGCCAGTCCCGCCCTCCAGCGTGCTCGCCGACGACTCCTGCTTTTCGCTTTCTGATGTGATGTTGCCTCCGAAGGCCGTCCACACTACCGGCGTCGGTGTCCAGGCTGTTTCTGTGTGCATTGACGGCGTCGCTTCCGCCGGTTCTGTGGTGACCACAATTTGCTCCGCGCTGCGTGTAGACTCGCTCACGTCACGCATCGCCATTTCGCGAACCATCATCTCCGCCGCGTGCAGCAACGCCGGCGCATGGCCTTCGTAGCCTTCTTCGTCTTCCCATATAGTGTACTGCGGCTTGCCCAGCACGCAAGCAATAATTAGACAATTTTTCAGTTTCATCTGCGTGATCAACTTTTACAATTGAAAAAAGAACAAACACAAACAACGCAGTACGCATCAAAGCGCACCCACTAATTTTGAACGCCGCCCGCGCTACGCGAACTCCTAGATCTGCGAGCCGTCTGCAGTGTGGTCCGCCCCCGAATGTGATTTTTCGAGTTGCTCCTGCAGTCGGGACTCCGCTTCGAGGTTTGCAGGCCACACTTCTAGCCCCGACGTCTGAAACTTATTGCGTAGCAGTTCCAATTGCCGCTCATAAACCTGTTGAACCTCTGGTGCGACGATGTACTCCTCGATGTTCTCGTTCTGCGAAAGAAGCCTAGCCCTTTTGATTTCCGGAGTCTCCTGCAGTTCGTCCCCCAGTACTTCCGTCGCGTTTCTCTCCGCCTCAGGCAACAAGTCTTCCGAAACGACCTGGAACCGCTGGTTCGCATCGAGCGGACCGGTAGCCTTCCAGAAATCAGGCACAAGTCCTTGCGGCATGTCGACGACTCCCGCGTCTCCGAGCTGAAAGTCAGGGATGTACCCCGGCTCATGAACCTCGGTTTTCTCCTCAATAAGCTTGATGAGCCCTTTGCGCAGCTGCATGTTCTCGATCGACAAGCCGCCTTCGAGCACGGCTACTCGCGCGTGGACCGGGCATCTTACGCTAATTTCTTCAACCATCTGCTGAAACTCTGCCTTAGACTGCACAATGGTATTGCTGAAATTGTAGCCATTATTGCATTTCAGTTTGTGATAGTAGGTTCTAAGAATGCTGCGAGGGAGCGCAGATTGAGCTTCCTGCCTGTAAGCGCAACACTTAAACATCAGGTGTCTACACAAAAATTAGCACGTCAACAAATGAGATTGAAATTCATCAAGTGGTCATTCACATTTTGTCGTAACACTTTAAATGTGTATGTCACTTGCTGCGCCCTGCAGCAAAATTGCCCGATTCCAAGCAAAATAGACTGAATAACAACGCGGCTACACCAATAGAAACACCGCAAGCAGTTGATTCAGCACCAAAGCGCAGAATGCGCGCCACAGCGCCGCCTAATTCAAGTTGAAGCTCGCTGTTCGAAAACCTCAATCTGTACAAAACCAACGCCGCGCCTGCGAGAAAAAACTCTGCAATAGCAATTACGCGAGAGATTAGCAATCCCAGATCAGACTTCGTCAACGCCGCTTGCAACTTTGTGACACACAGAGAAACAAACAACAGCCAGTAAAACAAATTACAGCACGCCAGCGGAGTCAAGCACGCTAACGAACTTAGACATAGGGCAGTGTAGGCAATGTAACACCTTTCGCTGCTTTTGCTGCACTCCTGCCAGGTTTCCTCAAGCAAGTTGTGCAGTTGCGCAGTCACTGGTTCGCTGTCGACTGGAAGTTCTTCGCATATAGGGAGCACCTTCCGTTTTCTAAGACCACCGCAGCTAGTTTCGTCCTTTTGCGGCATAGGAGAGTGCAAACTTCGCCCATTTTGAAAATTTGAGAGGTCTATGAAATAGTCAGAGTTTGATGCTAAGCTAGGTGAAGGGACAGCCGCAGCGCGTTTGCTTTGCAAGCGCTGTTGCAAGTCTCTGTGGTTCAACAACGAAATAGTATTGTAGTAGTCCTTATTTTGGCACGCAAACCAGACTCCATGCGCGCCAAAGTCCACAACTAAAAACTCTGCTTGTGAAGCGCTGAAGCTCTGCCGCAGTACGCTAACGAACTTGTCGCTTTGAATTAAATTCTTGACCAAGATACTGGGCGACTTGCAAACGTAGTCGCCGCAGCACATGTCTGCGTCATTCAGTTTGCGAATTGCGTACAGCGAAGCGCTGCAGCCAGCAATTCGCTGGTCAGCTGTCGCAGCAGATTCTACAAGCATGCAAATCGCTCTCCTCAGGGTGCAAAGAAAGGCAGGCGCAGCTCGTTTGTGCTCGTTCAGAGAAGCACAACAAATGGCTTTGAGCTCTGCAAAGCCGCAATGAGTCCGATATTCGGATTTTAGTATTCGACAATTTTGAATTTCGTTGTTGGCGGCGCAGGCAGAAGATTTACGAAGCGCTCAATCAAATCTTCGACTACACTGTAGCAGATTTGCGTACTCAGGGCGTCAGCCGGAGTAATTGGCTCGACATACGTCCAATGTGGCATGTTGCGTGCTGAGAACGAAAGGCCAAAAATCCCGCGCTTGCGCAGCAAACACACCATTTCGTGCATTCGTTCTCTAGCATGAGCTGCGCAATAAGCAAAGCTCCGCTCTATAATTTCGGCTAGTCGGCACTGCTCGCAGTCTTGCACGGTGCTCAAATGCGCTACGGTATCCATACAATCTGCTCCAAACTCTGGTCCAGCAGACCCTAGAAAAAGCGGTGGTCGGTGGTATATTCGCTCAAACTCTTTAATCAACTCCACAAAAAGTGTATCGACTCTGTCGCTCACACAATTCACTGTCCGCAAATTCGCAAGCAGCGCGACGGAAAACTCTGATCGCGCGAAAAAAGCTAAAAGATTACTGTAAAGCTTGCTAGCCGCATACAGCGAGAGCCGTTGATTGCTGAGTTCGTCAAAATGCCGGCTGTCAAACTCCCGGAGGAATCGCACTGCGCGCGAAACCACGCTGTAATCGTTCCGCATTGACACTCGAGGGTCAGCGTCGCGCTTTGTACGAAGCTGATCAGAGCTCAGTGCTATCACTCGCGCACAACGCGCGTCAAGCTCAGCAGCGAGTTCGGCTGCGTTTTCAACGACCCAGATCTGCTCATCGGCAGAACCGCACCGTTCAGATCCGCAGAAGTGAAGCTGCTTCCGAGCGCAGAATGTTCGCAAGTATTCAGTAAAATTCGAGTCCAGCTTTGCCACATGGATGCAACAGGGGCGCGGGCGGCGAACAGGTAGAGCCATTGTCATGCACCGGTTTGCAGTACGCGCTCGCTGCTATCATCACTTCACCGCTAGGACAATTTCCTGCATGAACTTTGAGATCCGTTCAATCCACGACGCCGTGTTTGATCAGGTGAGTCTTATTTTAAAAGCATTTTAAAAACGTTGAACGATTAATCTTAGAGCGCCGTGGGCATAACGGACCTCGCGCTGCTCTGAGACCGCGTTCGCTTCCTGCTAGGTGTTTAGCTGGGTGCACTTTCGAATGCACTAGTTTCTAGGTTTTACACGTAAATCGCGCGAATCAGTTTGCGCGACGTCCTGCTTGATGTCACGATTTGCTTGCCTTCTTGAAACCGAATTGCAACAGCTTTCATTCGAGCAGTTGCATCAGAAATGCGATCCCCCGATATCGTTTGGCTCGCTAAACGCGTGTCTGCCGCTGGTCAACCCCGATGACGATGTTTGTTACATGGATCGGCTGCACGGCTGCCTATTGATCTTACTGAGCCATATTCGCAACAAAGTAATCGGCGAGCCAAACCTGTCGCGCTTTCTACAACTGTTTACACTGATGATTTCGAGTGAAGCAGTGACGCAGATGCTCGCCTCACACCAGTGCTCGGAGTTCGTAAACGAATGTTTGACCGAGTGCTGCGGCATCATTAACAGGTCTTCCATTGCTCCGCGCACGATTGCCGCAGCTTATCCACTGATCTCGCAAATACTGAATGCGCAACACTTTGAAAACATCACTAACGACACGCTGCTGCGTTTGTGCGAACAGGAGCATGCGGCAAAACTTCAGTTCGAGCCTTTGAGCCCGCTGCTGAACTCCATTTTGCGCTCGATACAGATGGGAGCGTTTCTGCAGTTCTCTCCCGCCTCATCCGAGCAGGTCAAGAAGCGCTGCTGCACCGTGTTTCAGCACATCGTTTCGATCATTTTGGGATCTTCGCACATCGAGTTGTACCAAGTAGCTGACGAGCTTCCGAGACCTCTCTTTTTTCTTCATCAAGGAATCGCTTCGCAGCCCAACCGTCAGTCCGGGAGCCAAGTGGAAATGGAGACTCCGTCAAACGGTCCCTCGTCAAGCGCGGCACACCCCGCGCAGCGCTTTTTTAGCGGACTTTCCGACCGTCCGGCGGCGCGCTTGCAATATTTGCTCGACGCTTACACGATTCTGTACGACATCGTTCGGTTGACACCGGCAGCAGCCGCTTATCTGCTCAACGACTGCAAAAGCGAGTTCGATGCGCTGCTCGCTGCGTTCTGGGGCGCACTCAAGTACTACGACCCTTCCGTCAGCAGTATAGCTGTCAACTTCTTTCTTCTCA